AAATACCGAAGGTGCGGAATGTACGAAAAGCATTAGATACGTATCGATTTGATGCAGAAATGCCGAAACTGCAGAAGTGCGGAAAGTGCAGAAATGACGAAAAGCATTACATACGTATCGATTTGAAGAAATGCCGAAACTGCAGAAGTGCGGAATCTGCAGAAATGCCGAAATGAAGAAATGCAGAAATGCGGAAACTGCAGAAGTGCGGAATCTGCAGAAATGACGAAAAGCAACCGATACGTATCGATTTTCCGCACTTTCGGCATTTCTGCAGATTCCGCACTTCTTCACTTTCGGCATTTCTGCATTTCTTCAAATCGATACGTATCTATTGCTTTTCGTCATTTCTGCAGATTCCGCACTTCTGCATTTCCGCATTTCTGCATTTCTTCATGGTCGCAAGCTATGAACGCGGCCTAATCCGCAATTGTCTGTCTGTAAAATTCATAGCGCCCGTCCCAGTAGCAGTGAGACTTTAGTTCCAAGATATGATATAGAGTATGGGAACAAGAGCATCACTGGTGGCTGGCAGAAAGTAATGCACTTGATAAGATCTGATAAGGGCTGTTAAAAGGGAGGTCACCACTTCCATAGCACGAGTTACAGCAGCAGTAAGACGTTAGTTGCAGGATGTGGTTTAGGATATGGGGACAGGAACAACGACGGGGACATCGACGGTGGGTGACAGAAAGTGATAACAACAGATAAGGGCCGATGAGGCACCTTGCCGTCGTCGTTGTTGTAGAGTAGTAGAGCTTCTATACTACTAAATTATATGTAGAGATTTCGTGACATAGACCTCTAATACGGGTGACATGTAATCATATCAATTGATAAATATGGGAGGCCATCTTCACTACGTTTTCTACCGTCTCTTTCCGTTGCCAAGCATTGGGGGAAAGCTCAGTGTGTGAACTCTTTTCTTTGGAAATCATGACGTCATGCGTGTGCCCCTGAAACGGTAAAAGTGGCTCGCAATCAACTCGAAAGAAGGGGACGAGTAGAGGGGTGTACAAAACAAACAACAGTGAATAGATGAAGATTATATCGAGATAAGCTGCACATAGGCTTCCCCGAGTGTTACGCGCGACAGCCTACCTTAGCCGAACCAGTTAATTCATATTTAATTTCGCCTCTCTCATACTGCCCACCGAATGTCCACGCCTTCATGTCAAGCAAAGTTTCCTTTTGTGGCTCGCATTTCTCGATTCATGAGCTCTCGATTTCTTCTGTATGTGTACCGTCGTCCGTGTTATTAATAGCCATACTTTGCAATTCTATATGGGTTTTGTTTCTGCCAATGTTATCTTGAAACTTGTTTATTCAGGTAGTTTATATATCATTCTGGATACTCATAAATGGGACAGACGTTGAGTGAACCGGTAACCACGAAGGAATCTGCGTCATGCATCAACGACTTATTCACAGTAGGAAGCTCTTGTATGCAAGGATGGCGAATAAGTGAGTTTAGTCCGAAAATCTTCGTTATACTTTTTTTGGAGCGGGTATCAGCTCTGCTCTTCTGTGTTGTTTCTCAAAGATAGCGTCGCTCCACTTCGTATGGGAATGCTCACCGGTCTATTTATGGGAGATACCATTGCCATTTGGTGACTCCATCAACTCCATCACCCCCAACTGCGCACAAAAGTGTTTCTGAGAGGAATGCTGTAGAAATTTCCTATTCGAAAGCTTCTCAAAATCATTGGTTTTGCTAAGAACCAGTGCCGATAACCGTCTTGAGGTGATTTACGCAAATTCTGATCTGGCCAAAATTAGCTGCGAATGCGAAGGTGCCCAGTACGATCCATCTTCAGGGCCGCAGATATTCTAGTAATTTCCCTACGGCTGACTCGAGAGCGACATTGAATTGGAACCCTTTCGTGGCTTCTTTTTGAGAAGACCACTTCAGTTTCGAATTTTACACGGGATTATTGTTGTTTTCGTTTTGTTCGTTACCCAAACTCGGAAAAGGGTTCATGGGCATCTACTTTGGAGCTAACATCGCCCTGTCTCAGTTAGAGAGCACAGACGAGCAAAGAGTGGACTTGAGTGTTCAGTAGCCTCCACTCCTACTGCCCTAGGCTGGGTTAATACTTTGCGTCAGCTTATACCGGCGTATAACAGTCTTTCAAGCGAACGCCCATGTTAGCGAATGGGAAAGTTTAGGTATCAATCTGGCGCACGCTGGCATACTCTGGCGTATATTAGATTGATGTCTATAATTTCTCAGTCGCTCGAAACGCTGGCATACGCTGATCAAAGTATGAGCGCACCCTCACAGTCCTTCTTGGCCCTTTTTTAGCCCTATTTTTAAGTTTTATGTCATCCGAAATGGCCTTTTGCTTAAAGCTGTTCATAATAGAGCCTAACCCCCCCCCCACGATTCTATCGAAACTTGTAGCTCATGAGTGATGAGTCAGCTCGCAGCGCTCGCACACAGTCCGCTGCTGCGCTTCTTGCTGGAACCACCCTTGTCAAGGCTAGCAATTGCTGCCGGTGCCGGAGAGGAGGGAGGGTCGTGCTTTAAACTGTTTTCTATGCAAATAAACTGAATATGGAGGCTATTTTATGAAAGTATCACTGCTGTCTGGAACCTGGACTTCTTCCTGTCCATCGCGATCCCTGCCAGACATTCGGTACCAGTTCCAATGACCTGGCTCAAGTTTCAAATACGTGAGAACGGAGCTTTCAGCTATATCTTGGTCGTTCCAACGCAGCTTTACCAACGCAGCTTTAGATCACTACAAAAGCTCATAGGGCGTTATTGAGGTCGCAACAACTCATCACAAGCGCTGGGTATTGCTTTTTAGCTCAATTCGCAAGCCATCTTAGTTTCCCTGTTGAATATGTTTGTCACAGGTTTGTAGCAGTACCAGGCAATGCACTTACACAAGAAGTGCCATGATGGGGTTCAGGCCAGAAGCTCCTTTCACAGTCGTGCAGGAAGCTCCCTTCACAGTCACCTGTTTTACTCACAGATAGAACGTATTTACCAGGCTAAAGCAAGCCCCCCCCCTACTCTCCCCACTCTAGACTGATGATAAGATGTAATGGTGACATTAGTCTTCTCACAGTTCATGGTTGATGAAAGAATGGCATGTAGTTGTGAATGGTCAAATAACATTCTGTCCGTGCCTGTTTGCGACTGGCCTTGTGACGGGAATTCCGCGTAAGGTTGAAACCACCTGGCACAGTGACGGAGGGTCGTATGCGAGACAGTCTGGCTGATAACGATTACAACACCAGATAAGCTAGAGTAGTGCTATTGACTAGGGTTTGAGTGATTAGAGAAGCAGGGATCGAGTTTCACTCCTATTGAGTCAGGAGACGAAGTGCCCTCCATTCGCGAATCTGAGGTTTATGTGCAAGATTTACTCTCCATTTTCTGGAGTTGGGGAGAGCCTAGCAGTGTGATTCATGTGAGCATAGCAGCGGCTGCCCTTTTCGTAGGATATTGCCGTTTTGAAGAAAATATAGTCATGCTTTTGTCTAGCATGTAGCGCGTACCTGTTTACGTACTATCTTTTACCTACAGGGCTGTCCCCAGAATCACTAAATGGACTTGTCTGTGATCACGGGACGGTCGAGTCATGAAGAAGCAACCGTAGACCATAGCGCGGTTGCCTCACGACTGTCTTTCACGATCAGACCGACAGTTTTTAGGAGCATGCTACGAGTTTCTCAACTGCGGGTCTGCGAGAATTACTCAGTTGCTCCAGGATTACGCGAATACTGAAGGCCTCCTTGGAATTGTGACAATGATGGATGGTTTCATCTTTTTTTCCCCGATGGTGGAAGTTGAACCTATCCACCATTGCTAGAAGGAGGATGGAGAGTGGAATAGGGGAGGAAAGGAGTGACGTTAACAATTTTATGTGTGATTGCGGCCATCATGGCTAAAAACATCGCGCAGTTCATATTGTCGGTAGTGGCATTCAATAAGGAACCTGTAGTCGCCTAGTGACTCTCCGGTTAGGGAAAAAAGCAAAAATAAAAACGTGGAGAACACTGTAGGGACCCCGTGGCGGCTCCAAAGTACAGTTGTCCGACTGTCGTTTTATGACAGCAAAGCGATACTGCTGCTTCGAGCTCACAAATCGTTCACTCGCGTCATTCAAATGCTAATACTACCCAACAGAGAAAAAAACAAAAAACGAGGTGTAAAGACTGAACTCGTAATGGAAAATAGCCTTTGAGTCTTGGCGGGCGGGGCTACTAGGGAGGTGTCATAGCTGCCACATGAAAGCTGCAGCGCCTTCATTGCTTAGGCAGCGTTCGGATTTCACGACACGATTGATGCAGTGGAACGCATGCGCATAGATCGTAGAATCGCGCAACCGAAGCGCTGCCCTCGCGAAGTCTGAAGCTGCCTTACTGTGAAGCCGCGAAAAGTGTGGCAATGATTGAGACCTAGAGGGACCTACTTGTGCAAGGGAGGACGCCAACAAATCGCTTGAGCGCGGAGACGGTCTTTGAAATCCTTCCTTCCCTTTCTCTCCCCCTGTATTTCTGTCCAGCATTTCCGAGTTTTCGTAGTTTTCTTAGGATTCCTCATGAGAAAAAAGAGCAACTGCAAGCAATTCAATAATACCGTAGTGGGGAATTCAAGAAATTTTTTCAACTCTTTTGTTAACTATAACTTCTGTATTTTATGACCACCGTTTTAGACATGGAGGATGCACACACTCATTTGCTATCATTGCCTGACGATCCACGGTGTGCATTTTTTGCCGTGTACGACGGCCACGGTGGTCCGAAAGCTTCACAGTTTGCCGGTATCAATTTACACAAGCAAATATTGCAACAAGAAGATTATGGTACGTAGTTTTTTTTTTGTTTGCGGAGGTTACCTTGTAGAACATTTCCGAATACCCCAGTACCACGCGACCATTTTACAGCTCAAGGAAATCTCCCGGAAGCTCTACGGAAGGGTTTCTTAGCGCTCGACGAACAAATGCGTTCTGATGACGAAATGCGCGACGATGTCTCTGGTGCCACAGCAGTTGTAGTTTTAATTAAAGATGATGTTATTCACTGTGGTAAGCCGAGCTCCTTTATTACAACTTATTTCCTAAGTTTTGTTTTGCTCATGCTATTATTGCAGCAAACGTAGGTGATTCTCGAGCTGTTGTCTCTGTATGTGGTGAAGCTCGTCCATTGTCGTTTGATCATAAACCTGCTAATGAAAAGGAGGTGTGGACTGCATTGTTAGAATTGTTGGCGCAGTTCGGCGACGAGGGGGGGGGGGCATTTTGCACTTTCGCTGCTTCACTAGTTCCGGTTTACAAGTCTCACTCTGGTGAAACCTGTGAACTCTTGTGAAGCTTGAGCAACCATGGAAAAACCTGTCAGCACTTGTGCTCATGAAATAGCTCTCCAGATGGGTCGACACGTCGATGGGAAGTACAAACAGTGTAAAATGCCCCTCCCCCTCCCCTTCGCAGAACTGCTCCGGAATTTCCATTGAAGCTTTTTCTGAATCGCTGGCGTCATGGCGCTTTTTAATGTTTTATTGCTGGAAAATTTCGACATGATGATGACGCAAAATCTTCAGGCTAAGCGCATACTTGCTGCTGGTGGATGGGTTGAGTTCAATCGAGTTAATGGTAATCTCGCTCTTTCACGGGCCCTCGGTGATTTTGTATTCAAAAGGAACGATGCGATTCCGCCTGAACAACAAATTGTAACAGGTCAGTTATTATATCTTTAGTTGAATTTTTGTAACGTTGCATGTTCTTGTGTTATTCATCCTCTCTGGTTGCTGGTTATTATTTCACTGGATAGTCAACAATAACCATTTTAGTTGCTCAGCTGACTTCCTTTTTTACGAGCTACTGCGTTCAGTTTTGTTTGATGTGTGGGCGCTTTTGAAAGCCATTCATTCAGTAATCGTTCAGATTTTCCATTTCTATGGGGGTTTTCATTGGGAGGTTCTGTGAGCTCTGACTCTTAAGTTTTTCCTGTAGTCAAACTTGTATTTGACTTCCTATACGAGAAATGACCTTCAACTTCGACGATTACTGTTTTGTTGACCGCCGATTGATGTTTAGTTTACGCATGCGCATTCGATTATCAGTTCGCTCTGACACGATGTGCTCTCGTCGGCAATCATTGTTCCGTAATTCTCCATAGACATGCTGGGGTGACTTTGTGTCTATCGACGTTAGTTGTCAAGATGTCGGAGGTTACAGGAGTATTGAAATGAAAGTGTGTAGTAGGGCCTAACTATTGAATGTTCAGTATAACAGTGCGCCCTAAAAAACAGGAAGAAGCAACAACCAGATTTGTTCTGCCGTTATCACATCAGAAATGAGCCGATCGGCACTTACGTACTAAGCCTGAAACAGGGGAGGCGGGCAAGAGAATCGTGAATTGCCGCTTCGTCGCGCGCGACAGTGGGCGCGACGTTGTCTTAATTTGCACTACCCTTTCAATTGAAACACCGACGTCCATGTAGACAAGGACATCGTAGACACTTATGTCTGTTTTTGGTCATACATTGTCTATTTTGGACCAATATCACCTGAAATAGTCGTCATTAAGGGACGCCACGCCCTTTGGCGCGGCAAATTACGATTCTCTTGCCACATACCCTTGAAACAGGGGGTCTTATGTAGTGAAAGCACGCAACTGGCACTCACAAGGGAACCGTTGATCCAATCATGTACAATGGGATGTACTTAGATGGACGTGTTTTGAGCCGCTGAATTCAAATCTGCCCTCGGAATTTGCGGAACGATTCTCTGAAAGGAGTTACGGACCATTCATTCTCTGCTGTGTTCGCATAAATTCGGAACGATACATACTTCGGCAAGCGGCCGGTGGTAAGTAGTGGATAAGCGTACTGCTTCAAAGGCACGAGTTCACGTGTTGGAATCCCTGACTCTTGGAAGTTTTTGCTATTGTGTAAAACACTTCATATGAGCCCCCAGAAACATTTCTGTTCAGCTAATTTACCTAGTTCTCTGATTTCCCTTAAAAGAATACGCCAGTACCAGCTTTGGGCAGAACATTTCGACAGAACAAGAAAGCAACCGCTGGCTGTTTTTTGTGCGGAACAACACGTGTCGGTAGATAGTAACCATGTGGGCTGATCGTATAGGGTATTTTGCACAAATGGCGTTGACAATTTCGATCAAAATTGAAAAAAAAAACTTGACTAGTTTTCTCTCTAGACTGGTGGGGAACTGTAACTGTGCCGTGTGGGAAGAGTACTTCTTTATTCGCTGTAATAGTTGCGAGAGCTTGTTGTGTTTCCATCATTTCGTGGAAGAATACCACATGTGCTCTCGAACCATAAGATCTTCATTTCTTGATGTAAGCTCCAATAAACGGATATCCTCATAATGAAACTTCTTAAAAGGAACCCGAAGTGGCGAATTTGCTTGCTCCTGATGGCAAATAATCAAGGAACTAGGTAAATTAGCTAAACAGAAGTGTGTCGGGGACTCATACGTGTTTTACACAAAAGCAAAAACTTCTAAGGGTCAAGGAATCCAACGTGCCTACCCACTACACCACCATCTGCTCGCTACAGTCATCGTTCCGAACGTGTGCGAACACAGCAGAGAATGAATGGTCCGTAACTCCCTTCAGAGAATCGTTCCGCAAATTCGGAGGGCAGATTTGGATTCAGCGGCTCAAGACACGTCCATATGTATACATCTCATTGCAAATGGCCGGATCGACCTGTTGGGGTTCCCTTGTCAGAAGGTGGTGTGGTCCGGTCCGCAATATCAAAGGCTGTTCCACTTGCACGACTCCGCAACTACGCGGTCGAGGGCGCTGAGCAAGTCGAGTGCAGGCTGCGTGCGGCACGTTCAAGGTGCCTCGACCGCAGGGACGAGTATGTATGCGGTCGTGTTTGTAGTACAGGCGCCATTCATACTGTGCAGGACCTACCTATGTCCTCATCATTTTAAGAACCACTCTCCTGTGCCAAATGGAAGGCATTTACTTTTATAGAATGCTTTTTCTGATAAGGAGAACATGAGCTCGGAAGGATCCCAAAGGAGGCGTGACGCTGCTTTGATGTAATTTTACTACTGCGGTTGTTTGCTGGCTTACGGTAATCGCCGTTTTTCACACGAAATTTTCTGAACTAGTTTATATTGAGCTTTATTTCCGTGCTGTTTCCTAGTTTGTTTTCTGAGGGTTGTCCAGCATTTGGTGATGGATGACGGGAAGAAACTGTTTTTGGATCAAACAATGCACACAGGCGGAGGCTATATCGGTTTTCTGATACGGGCTTCACGGAAAAACTCACCGGCGAGCGCGTCGCGTGCTTACTGTCGCCGCGGCAGTAACGCGGAAAGGAGGTGTACAAGGCAGTCTGAAGGCAAAGAATTTTTGGCTCGCAGACGATGAACTGTAAAAACAGTGGGGGAGGCAGTAAGTAATTAATGATGACTGATGAACACACTGGAGTGTGAAAGTTAGCTGAAAGCCTAAGCCGTTCTTCGAAAGATGTTCTGATTCCACAGGTGACTACCTATTGTATTCGCCAGTGCGCGTTCCAGCGATGCCGGTTGAAGGTGAACATGGGTCGGTAAAGAGCTAGTCTATCAAATTGCAGCGATGAAAGCGCCTATCATTGTCCAGTCCTTCGCCCCGTTGCCGCAGCGACATCGGCAATCGCGGGATGTCATAGAGGAGTCAACAACAAGCGGTTCAGCAAAGGAAACAGTTGCCGATAAGGCTTGTCGGACGTCATTCCTCGGTGAATAAATCCTACACGAGACTTCATAGACTGCTTACATAGGGAAGATCCACCAACAAAGCCACATCAGTGATTTATAATGCTTGGGACTAGGGTGTTCAGCTGTTGTTGTTCGCTTCTGTGTTGTTTGCTTGTTGTTTTTTGAAACCACATGGGCTCGTGCGTAAGGAATGAACAATTACAATTATAAGGATAACCAGTCGCCTCGCCGGCTGACGCCGGCGCGGCTCCTTCTGATACGGCCCGGCTGCGCCGGGCGGGCGCGGCTTCGCCGCGCGTACCTTCTCTCACATATTTCTAGACTCAACTGATATCCGCCTTTTGTTCTGTACTCCACTTTTTCCGGTGTCTGAAGTACTCTTGAGCTATTTTACAGATTCTTCGCTTCCGCCCACCTCGGGCTGGCCCCGCCCACAATATGTCTACCCCACATTTCTCAATCGGCGACCCCTTGCTGACCTGAATTCACTTTATTCCGGTCTTCGGAGTGCTCTGGAACCGTTTTACAGACCTTTTGTCTGGCTCCGCCCACCTCGGAGCAGGCTCCGCTCAACCCCAAAATCAGGAGATAAGAGAACAGACACAGAAATAGATACACACACATTTTCTCATCGTTCGGACCTTGCTGACACTGAAATTCACTTTATTCCGTCTTCGGACAGTGCTTCTTGCGAACGTGTTTACAGACCTTTTTGTCTGCTCGGCCCCGCTCGGAGCAGGCTCCGCCACACATGTTTATTTGCCCCACAATCTTTTCGCCGGAGACCTCCACTGACATTAATCCAAAGTTTTTTTTTTTTTCCAGATCTTTAAAGATGACTCTGGGACAGTTTTAGAGAACTTTTTCTGGCTCCGCCCACCTCGGGCTGGCCCCGTCCACGATGTGTCTACCCCCTATTTCTCAATCGGCAACCCCTTGCTGACACTTGAATTCACTTTTTCCGGTCTTCAGAGTTCTCTGGAACCGATTACTAGACTCCTTTTTGTTGGCCCGCCCACCTTGGAGCAGGCCGCACATGGTTTTTACCCCACAATTCCTCACCGACGACCATGCTGAATTAATCATTTTTTTTCCGGTATCTAGGAGTGGTTCTGGGAATCCGAAAGCTGCAGACTTCTATAAAATGAATACCCTGCGATTTAGGGCAAGCTCCGCTCACTGGGCGGGTCTCAACACACTTTGAGCGTGCCCTATATTCGCCGGATATTTACATTCTACACTGAGTTTTTTGCGACTTCCAAACACTCGCGAACCGGGTTACTGAATTTTGCGAGAAGCACCGCCCACCTTGAGTACGCCCATTTAGGGTGTACCTGCCACTTATTCTGGCGACTCCTTACTAACCTTAGTCCCTTTTTTCCCCATCTTTAAGCTGCTCCGGAAGCGAATTATGAACATTTTTCTGCGGAACCCCAAACTTTCGGCGAGTGCCCCGCCCACTGTGGGCGGGGCTTGCCATAGGTCAAGTGTGCTTTTATTTCTTGTCCCATGCCCTACCTATCCCCACCCTTTGAGTGAGACCCCTCCAAGTTCCGTTTCTTACAGGGTCGAACGAATTCCGCGGACAGACAAAACTTACAAACAAAAATCACAAAAACAGGACAAAGCGATTACTATATGGCGGCTGATGAGCGACACTGCGAACCCAAGCTGGCACCGTATTGCAGAGTTGCAGAAAAGACAACCCAACAATTAGAAATAGCACTGCTGTTTGTCTTTCCTTTGTTTCAAAGTGTGGATATTGATCTAGGGTCCTAGTCTACATCACCGTCCACCAGGGGCTGTATGCCCTCCTTCCTTTCAAAGGGAGATATTCCCCACTGAATCTCCGCTTTTAGCCGTTTCCTCATTAACCTCCGCTATGTTTGCCGTTATCTCTATCAGTGTCCTCGTCTACTGGCCGTCGCCGCTCTGCATCCACACTCTGTACTATACTATTCGTTCAGCGCATGCTCCGAGCGAGTGCTAGTGTTGCGCGGAGGGGTAAGCA